CTTCATCATCTCCTGATTTCAGCATCAATCTTCAATTTCTCACAAATCTCCAACTACTCCCAACAACCTGAGATTTCCATATCTCAACATAAATTGACCCTTTGGAAGAATTCTTTCACAAATATAAAATACTACTAATGAAACAAACTTATTAATTACCAAATAGTATTTGGTAAATTTTGCTTATTTATTAAAAAAAATGCTAATTTTTTGGGTAGTAAGTACATTTTTAAGTAAATGTTATTCACACTGAAATGTTTTTGATTTTTTTACAGACGATGTTTTGCCTGAAAATTTGCAAGAATAACGATAACTAAATCAAAATTTGAAAAATTTATTTAAAGTAGGAATAAAATCAAATTGTTTCGATAGGTAAGAAAAATGAAATTTCCCATTCCCAGGTTAGCCTACTTATGTATTTTAAGATTACATATATTTTTTATTTTTGATATTTAGGCAAAATTTTATTTTTTGATATTATTAGCTTCTAAATATGAGTATTTCTTTATTTTTTTCTATAAGGGCTTAACTGTTTGATGCCCTTTGTAAATGCTGCGACAGTTTTTGCTCACATCACACCAGCTTTACACCATATCCTTTGATTGCACCTAATTTTCCCCCTCATTGTCAAATGAATTGCCTTAAAACCAAATTTATTTCAAACTTAGGAAAGAAGTGATAGCCACTAAGCACAAAGTCAAAACTATAAAGATGAGTGTGTTTTATTGAAACTATTAAAGAAAAGTGTCAAATAAAAGATGTGGTTCAATGCTTTCTAAGAGCTGGAAACTGGTATGACACATAAATACCAAAATTGAAAATGCATCTGTAAAAATGAATTAACAAGTAAATTTGAAAAAATATTCGATTTTTCAAATGATGTATTGATAGAAGATATAAGAATTGAGTAATTAAAAAAAAAATAAGTGATCATACTTTTGAGACATTTTTTATAATCTACAGCTAAAATTAAAATTAATCAACTATGAGATGTTTATATTATCTTTAAAATCTGCCTCTAAATTCAGGGTTCTCTATTAATTACAGAAAAAAATTTCTCTGATTCTAAGTATTTCAGGAAAACTTCAATGTAAATTCAGAAAATATTTTATTTATACCATACAATTTGTCATTGGGAAACTTTGACTTTTTATTTGTAATGTGAAATACTAGATTTTGCGAGCAAAAAATTTAATTGAATAAGGATAAAATTATAGAAACTCAGGAAATTTTCATAAAAATGTGGAATTTTTACAACGAATAATAGTAATAGATGTCAAAATTATTTAAATTGAAGCTGTTACAAACCTGTTCTGGATGATTTCAGACTACTTAAAGCAGCAGATAATACAGCTGGGGATGTTTGATCAGAAGTAGAGAAACTAGGTGAATTTATAGCATCCGGACTGCCAGGGGAGGCTGGAGAATTAGGTTCACTATCTCTTAAACTACCACTAGTGCTGTCCATGCTGGAAGAAATATTATCAATTAAATCAAATACAATTCAACTTTATGGCAAATCATCAAACAAAAAAGAAATTTCTTTAATGTTTTATTTTTTTGTCATAGTTGAAAATTCAAATTTAACCCATTGACTTTTCTGCTCATATAAAGTCGTATTTTAACCCGTAGTCTTCTCTGCATAGTGAAACCGGTTTTCCCATTTTATTAGCAAGCCATTGAAGAGAAACATTCTAATTTTGCCCATTTACTAAACCACCAGTGGGTTAAAGAATAAAGAAAACAACAAAATATTTAAGAATTTTATAACAACATGCATATTATATATATGTTGCATAAAGGGTAATAACTTACTATCTGCTAAAAATTATGATTTAAACAAGGTTTTTAACAGCAGGAAAAATAAATTTTTTAAATTGTCATTTTTTTTTTAGTTTCTGTAAATACATTTGTTGGAGTAAAACTTTGAATGAGTACAACTTTGATAGTAAATATTATCATTCTTATTTCTGCATTTGTTACATTTTTGAACAGGAAAAAATCATGACCCACTACTTCATGGTTATGACCCAAAGAATTTTTTAATTTATAAACATGAGTAAAAAACTGAAAACTCTGTTAATAAAATTATCTATTATCATCAGGGGTCTGTCCAGACATTTTGTGAAAGGTCCGTTTTTCGTGAAATTGTGAAAAAACTACTCACATTATTTCAACTAGGGTCCGCTTTTATGAATTTGTGCAAATAGGGTCCGTTATTGCAACAAAAAAAAACTTTTTCAAGGAGTTTTTAAATTGTAAAGACATACAAGATTATGCTCAACACTGTAAAAGTTTAATTAAAAAAATTAAATTTTAAAAAATANCGTTTTTATGAAAAGATATTTTGTGAAGGGTCAGTTAACGGACCCAAATTTCTTCTAAACAGACCCCTGATCATTACAGTGCACCACATGAAGAATCTTATGAATAATCGAATTTATCAAGTTCATTGGACAAAAGATCAGGTGTATCATTTACTACGAAGACAAAACTTAATTCGTTTACATCCATCTTTCTTGTTTTCTGCCCTGGAAAGGGTTTATTCGAATAACAAAATAATAATGAAGATAAACAAATTTGTGAAGGGTCCGATTAAAAGATAAATTATTTTGTGAGTGGTCCGTTTTTAAGTTAAAATATTTTGTGAAGGGTCCGTTTTTAAGTTAAAATATTTTGTGAAGGGTCCGTTTTTATGAAAAGATATTTTGTGAAGGGTCAGTTAACGGACCCAAATTTCTTCTAAACAGACCCCTGATCATTACAGTGCACCACATGAAGAATCTTATGAATAATCGAATTTATCAAGTTCATTGGACAAAAGATCAGGTGTATCATTTACTACCGTGTAACTTCGTCACTTGACTTGATAACTGTGTGCACTCATCTTGCCTTTTTCAGCATTAGTTACATTTCTGAACCCAAAAAAATCATGAGTCATTATTTCATTGTAATGATCCAAATAATTTTTTAATTTTTAAATAGGAGTAAAGAACTGACAACTCTGTTAATAAAATTATCAATTATTGTTATAATGCACCACACGAAGAGTCTTAACAAACATAGAATTTAGCAAGTTCGGTGGACATAACATTAGGTATATCATTTAATACTGCATAACTTCGTCATTGGACTTGATAACTGCCTAGACTCAGTTAGCAAGTGATTTCACAAGATTTTGCAGGTACTTAGCATTTAATTTAAAAATGAAAATTCACTGATTGCAGGGATACTGGTTACGGCATCTTACTCTGCTGTAAGACAAAAAATTTCTAAATTTCAATTATAGTATTAAAAATTACAGAGTATTTTTAGCAAGATTATAGTTCGTACAGTATCTCTTAACTATCTAACCTGGTTTAATTGCATAATGTTTCTAAAAAAAAACTTAAAAGACACATGCTTTACAAAAACCTTTACTAACTGTTGATTCAATGAATATACAACAAGCAAAAAGTACTACATCTCAACATCTGAAAATATTTACCTCAAATGCTTATGAGATGCTAACAACAGCTCAAAATCAGGACCATATGTCTGCAAGGCATCAACAAGGAGTAAACTATGAACACATAAACTAAGAGAAATATGATGTGGATGTTTGGAAACTGTTGTTCTTACACCAGTCACTTGTAGCTCTGCGACACTATGACCTATAATAAAAAAATTTGGGAAAAAAGCTAATATATAAAAGAGATGAAAAAGATAAAAGAAAACAATAATTCCTTTTTTATTAAAAGATATTTCCACATAAAATTTAATTAATTAAAAATTTTATAATAAAGTATTTTTAGAGGTCTTACCTCTACTTTGGACATCAAAAGACATTTGATCGATGCAAAATTCCATTAGAAGAAGCAAAGAGCTTTCACAAACATCATGATGAGTATCCATTAATTCTTTTGAGGTTCTACAAGAAATTTTATATTTACTTAAAATAATAATAAAGTACTGTTATTACTTTAATATTTTTGAAATATATATTTTTTTACTGTTGAAAGTAATGTTCAAAGTTTATCAGTATTGCATATTTAATTAATTCTTCAACTCTTTTGAGTAATGACACATTTTTAACATATTAAATTTGTTAAAGAAATATTTCTAAATATTTAAGACAGATTGATTTAAATTTCAAATATTTGTTTACTAAATTGCACATATGAAAAAGAAATATATAAATTTCGACAATAA